CTGATGATTTAAATAATTTGTCCAAACCCAAACTGCTAGTTGCAATGCATTTCCTGTGATGTCATTTTTCTTCTAAATGCATGTCAGCAAATAAGTGAACATAGAGATGCAGAGTGGCACAATCTAAATGATCGCTCTGCTTTATTATTACAAGTCTTTACATTATCCAAAACTAACAGCGTGTGCTTCTATTTAAACAGCCGTGATAAATGATTCCGTCCTCTTTTATAACATATAAAGCCGCGACGCGGACGTATTTGGTCTCATCGTCGTTACTTTGAGTTTTTGGGGAGCCACGTGGGTGCGTAACCCTGAAAGATGCGGGATAATTAGGGAAACAAGCTTACTTAACCTTCCCTTACTTCTCCTTATAATTAGTGGCCCGAAGCAATACTGTTACCCCATCCTTACAAAAACAATGTTTATTAAGAACACTCTGAGGATACACATATTATGAATAATTCCTTTCATTAATTTGCCGACATCTCTGTTTGGAGCCCTGAAAATCAGAGTGATTAATTTATGAGTCTCACAAGAATTTCCTCAACGCCTGCCTGTTGATTGCAGTGCTGGAGTTTATTTATTAGCTGTTCCAATGAGTTTGCAATTCAAGACACTCTGGCAATTCGTCACATGTTTTGCATATCACCTTACCCTTGTCAGTTTGGCTTCATGGTCTATTGCAAATAGTGTTTTGGTAGACCAGCCTTTTGTTTCTGACCTTATATTTGAGGTAATTGTGACCAAACTTCTCCCCAATGCCACTTTTTTTTCTTTCTTTTTTTTTGTGATAGGCTTAAGAAGAAAATACAGTGTCAAGTTCGCAGCCAATTAGAGTGGGATACGGCCTGCACATATCGGAGTTGAAGCAAAAGAGAGCCCTGCCTCTGGCGTTTGAAAACGAGCCTCTGCTGCCCCCAGACAGAAATAATTTGGGAAGGGGGAAAGAGCAGCCTTTTCTCCGCTGCGAGCGGGTGTTATGGGTCGAAAGATTAATTACGTCGGAGTGAAATACTTGTCCGCCGCTTTGTGTATCCAATAAATTAAGGGCTCCCGAGACTTACGCACACAGGTGAAGTGTTGGATGTGCGTACACGGGGACTGCGGCGCAGCGTTCCTGCATACTTTATAAGGATACACTGGACTTTGAAAGGGACCTCTTCTACATTGGCGAGCAAATTCTCCGACCTAACGACGTCTTCTTTGGGTTGCCTTCATGTCGTTTTTTGAGGCAGAGCCGTTGAGAAGTACCAGAGGTAAACTCCACATCAGACTACCGAACAGATAAAGCTCTCATGCCGGGAAAGACTTGGTTTGGAAATCTTCTGAGCATAAATTTATGTCAGTGCAACTAGACAGCTGTCAGTTATTTGGATTAGGTTTCTTTTGTTGTTGTTGTTTTGTTTTTCTTTGATGCTGAAAGATTTTTAGACTTGAAGTGTGTTTCCTGTTTTATTTGCAGCATCATACAGTTTGACATTTAATCACAGAACTTAACTTATGGATATAAATAAATGCAAAAGGCAGCAACTTTAATAGTATAGATAAGTATAAATGTTTAAGTTCAAATTAGAACATTTGCTACAGAACAGCGGACTCAATTAAATATTCAAATTTGTCTGTAAAATGGCTGAAAGTTACAGCTAGAGTTCAAATAAAATGTGCAGCTACAGTGGGCAGGTATAGGCTAACCTAAAACCTCTTCATCCAGGTCAGTAAGTGCACCCCGATGGTTGGAAGACAGACGCTCCGAATGGACAGCGGTAATTGCTCCGGAGCAGTGGTCGATGACAGTCCAGGATCCAGCCCGAGCTCCAGCCCGAGTCCAGACGGTCGTCGTCAGGAGCTCCACCGGGCCAGAGTGCTCCAGAGCGGCGGGATCGGCGGCAGAGGACGCCCGGCAGCAGCGAATGCGGCGAGGGAGAGGAGCCGGGTACAGACGCTGAGGAACGCCTTCCTGGAGCTTCAAAGGACTTTGCCGTCAGTGCCGCCGGACACCAAGCTGTCCAAACTCGACGTGCTGATACTGGCCACCACCTATATTGCCCATCTGACTCGAACTCTGCAGGAAGAAGGCACAGAGGAAGGAGAGGGCACGAAACAAACAGAGGCGTTACACTCACTGAAAGGCGAAGGCTACCTGCACCCGGTGAAGGTCAGTGTTAATAAGCATTAATCACTAGAGATCTAGTTTTGTTTTCAATTCTTCATTAATCGTTTTATTCTAAAATTATTTTGGTGATCTTATTCTGTTAGAAATTTCTCACTTTTTAAAATATAAGAAGTTAGCACAGCCTTTATCATATAGATGCAGAAAATCCTGTCACACCACCAAGTTCTGCTTTTAGAAATTATTTTACCAATTTAAATATTTCGATTTATTAGTTTCTGTTTTCCCCCTACAGAAATGGCCAATGCGATCCAGGCTGTACGTTGGAGCAACCGGGCAATTCCTAAACACTTCAAGTCCTTCAGAGTCAGAGGATCAAGGCCCATCGTCGTCCACCTCCCAGTAAAATAGGCTTAATTCATTTGTACCGAACAGCTTCGTTTTGTGCATGAGTTCATGCTTTACTTCCGAAGCGGCACATGATTGTAGAACAGCTCCCACTAAAGCACCGCAAATTAGGAAGACCTTGTAAATTAATATATTACGTGAATTTTATTGTATAAATTTTGAGAAAGCATACATTATATTTCTGTGTGTTATTTCGACTAATCCTGCCTGCATTGTGCAGCTCCACACACGTCCCAGGTATATTTACAGAGACTCATCGGGGCAACGAGCCCGTCATGCTTGAGTGTGCACTTTCAGCTGAGACATTTGCACTAAATGCATGTGTGAATAACTTAACATCTGTCATGTGAAGTGGTCTGTCAGGGAGCCCACAATGCAGGCTCCGAGTCTCATGTTCCTCCTTATTTTTTACATGCATGGGTGTAAATGTGTTTGTGAATAAATTACTTGACAATGAAAGAAGATATGTCTCCAAGGTTTGAACGATAGAAAACATTTTAAAGGTGTTCCAATTATTATTATTATTATTATTATTATTATTATTATTATTATTATTACTGATGGCATTTGCTGGACAGTGATTGTGGTTTTTGTGGTCTCTGAACAGTCACTGTAATTGTGTGGCTGTAGGTTTTAATCAAATCCATCTGTGGTGCTCGATTAAGAATTTGGAGATAACACAAATTTCACTGATGACTATACAGAAACGTTTTAACTTGTCTTGCAGCTGATTTTAGAAATCCGACTGGCTAAAAGGTCTATGTAAACAATAATAATTGGTATTATTTTATCATAAAATATAAAAAAATACGATACATGAATGCATAATTTATAGTGTTAGTAAAAACAATTACAATCCATACAGTTTAAAAGGGATGACTGCTTTCTTATTTCTGATTATTTTTCTTATCACTAACATTTAAAATATTAATACTTCACTATGAATTAAAGTGTTATGATAAGTGTTATAATACCAATTGCGTCACTCAAAATATCTTTATTGGTGACTCTGTTAGACTGATTAATCGGATTTCATGATGTAATTTTAAAAATATTGATAAAGGTATGTGTAAATCCCTTTAGGCTACAATGAAACAAATGACGATATTTCCCTAATTTAGCTAGTGCGGATTAAATAAAGGAAGAGCATAGAAACAGAAATTATGATATATTTTTTATTTATTTATTTATTTAATTTGATTTAATTTGATTTTTTTGCTGTCACATGTCCAGATCATCAAGTTACATACCCCTCTTTGTTTGTTTTTGTGTTTGTTTGTTTGTTTTTTTAAAATTCACTTTTATTCATTTGTTTTATGCTCGGCCTTCTGTTCCTTCTTCAGTAATCAGACATATTACACAGGAACGTTCATATACAAGTACATAGAAGTAGTTCCAAATTCAGAGCATCGTACCTTCCTGAAAAAAAAACGAAAAGTGGCCATGATTGTACAGCTTCACTAAAAGCTCTAAAGTACCTTATATTAAATGGAAAAATTACCAATAATAATAAATTTAATGTAAGTTTTGATGTGCACACACACACACTTGCTTTGTCTCTTTTCTCTCTCAGATCTATTTTTAACTGAATACAGCGCTGGTATTAGTATGTTTGTTTGTTAGTTTACTTATTTATTTATTTATTATTCCATTTGCCTCTTGGATGCCCCCCCCCCCACCACACACACACACACACACACACACACACACACACACGTGAGCGCATGCCCAGAATGACCATCGGTCAGAATATAGAATGACGACAACTGAACAAAAATCACCACATATGTATATGTCTTTACAGGCCATCGTCATTGTTATTAAAACTTTATGCAATACAGTGCATAAATAAGAGCACTTTAGATTTTAAAAAGAAGCTTAAAAAATGCTTCGCTGTGCGCTTCGCATGCTGCACTGCGCAGCCGTGGTGCGTAGAATCACGAGGTCGGACCGGAAACTCTTCCTCTTTCCCTGGAGATGGCTGCAGAAGGCAGTACGGCGTTTCAGCTCTTCTCAACATTTAACTTCTTCGCGATTCAACACGTAGGTAAGCAATAGAGACACGCTTGTGTACGTTTGCATAGCTTTAAATGGACCATCAGTCAGCGTGTTTTCAAGATTAATATGAATTTGCTCTTGAAACAGGCCATTAGTCGGTAGCATGAAGCTAGCTAGCTACTCAGCCACGTGGGTGAAAGGAGTACAGCGTAGCTTTCCTCCCTTCGCTTTACTGTTTCTCATCATAGTTAAAACACTAAAAGGTGTTTCATTCCATTTGTATAGTAAAGCTAATCTGGCTCCTGATTTTGAGCATTGCACCAACTCTGTCCTTACAAAAACACGTTAGTGTGTTGGTAATAAAATACAATCGTTTCATGTGGCAGACATTTTTATTTCTCGTCTCCCGGTCCCACGATCTCATTGGTTCCAGTTTACAAATGTGAACACGTTAGGCTCACAAGAAACACGTGGCGTGAAGTATTATTTTGCAGATCTGTGGATGTATGCCTGCGTAAACTAAAAACGAAGCTGAAACGATGGCGAACTTGTATTAGATATTAAGATGGGGAATTTTATAAGTTTAAAGAGTCGTATAAGGGCTTAAAGACAAACTTCTGGTTGGTTCTGGTTTCTTGGTTGCCTAAAAGCAAGTGATAGCATATTTAAAAAGTTTGCATTTGCACCTCAAATGTAATATTGGGGATTTGTCTTCCTTCGCCACCTTTGTTCATTGGTGTGCATGTCTCGTTATAATAGACAGGTCTCATCCCTGAAGTAAAGTAATAAATCATTTTTCTGGACTCACTGTCATTCAGCATCTTACTGAACGCTACGTCTAATCTTGTCAAGGGGTCACCAGAAGAGCTGCTGGTCAGGGAATTACCACCTCTCATTAGTTTACTGGGGAAAGTCATCAAGGCCCCAATGAAGACATAAGGTCATGGCAGAGGTCGTGACCTGCTGTTGAACCCATTCTCAGACTTGCGGTGTTAGCCATGCTCCTGGGCTGTGTTATTTTGCAACCTTTGACCTTCAGGTGATCAGTCATCTGTTCTCGCTGTATTGGCTTTTCTTTCAGTACATTTTACTTATTCAAGCTGAAAATCAATATCCCATCACTCCTGAGAGCAATTAGTTGCAAGGTTTGGAAAAGATGCAGTGACAGACTTTCACTGATCTTGAGAGGTGGTTGGGGTGTTATTTCTGTTGAAAGGGAGTAACTACTTGATTTAAAAACTTAAAGTTAGAGCGAACTATTAGGCTGGTCCTTAATAAAACCAAAAGATCATACTAAACTAACTCTTTTTTTTAATTTTATTTTATTTCAGATGCTATGCTGCTGCAAATAACCTGATGTCTTCACTGTGTTGACCCTTTAAGGTGAGAGCTGAAATATTTGACCATATTTAAGTTTTGGTTTAACTGTAGCTCAGTCCAGCTGCTGGAATAGTGATGAGATCACATTTTTGCCGTTTACCCGTCAGACAATAACATGGTGAAACTGTGACTAACTGAATAGCCAGCATAACATCAGACAGCCTCATATTTGATTTGTATGAAGAGATTTTCAGGAAGTTCATGTCAGTGGTTTATTTTGCTTCAGGTCTCATGCTGTGGTTGCAGGAGAGGCACGAGATGCCTAATCCTTTGTCTCCTTTCCCTGAGGACAGGTTAGTGGTTTCACAACAGTAAAATGGAAAAATGAGTAACTGCAGTAATTGTTGCAAATCTTGTCTGCTCATACTGATTCAGTGGTTAATGATTCCCAAACAACAAGTTATATTAATTTGCTTTGCGGCAGCTATTCTATAGCTGCAGCTGGAATAGTGATGAGTTCACTTCTTTCGCCGTTTACCCATCAGACAATTAAGTGGTGAGATTTGTGACTACTGAATTACCAGCTGCAGCCTTTGTGTCACATAGTTTACCCCAGTTTTTATTTAATACAGTAATAGTTTCACACATAGCCAGAAAATTTCATCTTGCCAAACTTGGCATTTACTTTCCATTTAGCAATTTTGTTCTTTTGTTAATCTGATTTCAGTTGACCTCTGAAATTCTTCAGTTTTGAGCCTATTATTTCTACATTACCTGTATCTAAAATTACACTGTGTATTGTTAATTCTGCAGATAAACAGCATCAGCAGTAATGGAGCTACACAGTGACTGGCAGTGATTTCATGCCTTTCCTGGTAAGTAAAGCCAGTAGTAGACTGGTGTATTCAGGAGCTGGGATTCTAATAGCCCTTTTCCTCTAGTACCTACTTGGCACGCCTTGGCTAGACTGGGATTTTAGGGGTTTCCATTACGTGGTAGTACCTGGGATCAGGTACATTTTTAGTACCTACCCAGCCGGGTTTCCAGTCCAAAAATATGACGTCAACAGACAGAATACCACTAATTGGCCAGTCAGTAGTGTCACTCAGTAAGTCAAGAAAGTGACTTCTTCCATTTTTGAAACCTGGCAATGACAGAAATGGCTTCATAGAAACAAACATTGTGGTGTTTCTGTCACATACAGATGTCGTTACTGGACTTTCAGATGCGTTGCTATAACGACTGCAAGCACATTTTAGGACTCAATTGCAATGGAAAGCGTCTGAAACAGAGTCGAGTCGAGGTGAGTAGTTACTAGTGTAAAAGAGGCATAAATGGCCAGCTTACTTCACTGGTATGTCTGCTGATGTAACTTGTAATGATGAGTTCACTTTTTCGCCGTTTACCCATCAGACCAAAATGGGCTGCTGAGAATGTGACTAACTGAACTTAAAATTACTTTTAAACCCACATAAATCATTTATTCTCATTTGACTGACTATATACTGTATATTTGTTAGATGTGCAAGGTTTTGGAAACACTTGAATGACCTGGGAGTACACAGAGTGGCCACAATTGAAAGGTAAGTAACAGGTTCTAGCCCTGTCACTTTGGTTTTTCAGACCTGCACATGCCACATTGAGCTTAGTTTTTTTCCCCCCCCTTCGTGCTTACAATTTAAAAATGGATAGTTGTTTTCTTTTCTTTTTTTGATATGCACAATTGGTGGGGGGATTTGTCTGCAAGAAAAAATATCTTAAGTGTATTTTGGTTATTTAATCTTGCATGCAATATTTTTAAACATGTACTGGATTCAGATTTTGGGTAATCCATCTTTTTATCTGCATTCAGCACGTATTTATTTGTTTGGTTGTATTTGATCAGCGTACAGATTTGAAATGTAAAAATAAAGGAGTTTAATCTTGTGTTGCCTACCTGCATTTTGTTAAACAACCTAGAGAGGCTTCACTCTTCTGTAATGTATGTGTCTGCTCCAGGTGCGTTGGTGTAGATGAACCGTAAGATAAGCTGATGGAGCTCATCCAGAGCAGCGTCTCGCTTGCACAAACCATCTACATCTCCCAGATCACAAGGAAACACTGGATCGGGTGGAATAATGAGAGCAGAGGCGCCTGTATGAAGAAGAGAAAATCCTGAATATATTGTATATTATATTGGTGTTTGATGCTTTATTATCTTGAGTGTTATATATTGATCAATAAAATGAGCCATGCTTATGAACAGAACCATCGAGTAATGTCATTAAATTGCTAAATATTTACTTTTTAGTGTTTTGAGGAGGTGTAAAAATGAAATAAATACCATGCTTGAGTGAGACTGAGCTTTCACAAAGGAGTACAGCGATCACAGCATCCTGCTCTAGTACTTGAGTTCTGAGACATAGCTTGCAATGGGCCTCAGCCAAAGAGATCCTGTGACAAAATGAATATACAATGTGAATGTCTGCCTCTGTATTCAGTAAGACCTTTCTAATACACTGTAGGACAAGTAATCAATAAAAATGTTACATTTAAAATGTAAATGGATAAATCAAGACTGGCTGTGTATGGACAGTATAATGTGGCCTGCCCTGTTTGGCCTTCTCACTGAGAACATTTATTTTCATAATTTTAGCTGAACACAAAACGTGTCACCACAGTGGGAAAGATTTGTAAACATTTGTCAAAGTTGCATGAAAAATGGTCATCTACGAGCAGCAATAGAGTGGGCTTGCACCACCTGGTGGATGAAGTTGACATTACAGCAGACTTTGACCTCTGCAGTTTAATATGCAGAAAGCAGAGATTGAATGTAAAAAGCCATTAAAGCACTTACAGCAGCTTGATAGAGGCCACAGACATGTTGACACCCTGACCCTGTGATCGCACTCTGCGGCTCGCCATGTAGTAACCATGGATTATTTTCTCTGCTGCAGGGCTGAGCTCCACTTGCAAACGTTGTGCATGGGCCACCAGCTGAAGAATATAATAGTATATTAGCAATATAACATAATTTATAATATAATAGTAATAGAACATGTTTGTTAACCTCCTGATAGTCTTCAGTGGAAAACTCCCAGCAGGGTGGGTCATGGGGTTTTCCAGACTGTACTGCATGCTGGAGGGTGTGGACAGTCTGGGCAAGCAGGGCCTGCTCTCCAACCCTGTCTCTACACTCAATGACAAGGCCAAAGGCATCTGCCAACTGAGCTGGTACAGCACCCATCTCCTGCTCACAGTAAAGAAAGCTGTCAATAAACCTTTATTTTAATGGTTACATTTCATTATTTACCCCTTGCCTACAAAAAGAGCAACACAAAGCACTGATTATTCTCAAGGGTTCTGCTGTGAAGTATAATTGCCTGGGCAGGCCACTTCCTTCAAGAGCACTAAATTGTCTCAATTTCCTGTTTTGCCTGTAGCACCAACAAACAGCATCTAAGCTGAAGGAAAGGGGCCTTTTTTTAAAAACTGTGTAATAGGCAAAATAAGTTACAAACATAAATCTAAACTTAGACCCAGTAAAGCACATTCATACAACAATAACTTGATGGAACTGAACTCACTGCTGCTCCCAGTGCGCCACAGTCTGCCCTCCCAGATCGACGGGAGGAGTCTGTGGCGGCCCAGAAGCTACACTGGACTGGAAAAGAAAGCTGCTGGTCTGCATCCTCACCATATTTCTTTCCAGGGATGAACACTGATAGTGTGCGGGTCTCCATAACTGGAAAAAATTTTGTTTAAAAAAGATTCATGATTTTTATAGCTGACATCCTTTTAAGGTTATTGCAGCACTGTTACCTGACTTAATGGAATCCAACTTGTCCTTTCTGTAATAGCTCAGATCTCCCAACAGGCAAACACCCCCAGTGGCTAGCAGGACAGAACCAGCATGGATGTTAGCAGTACCTGCCCCATGTTCATCCCGGGACAGGCATGCGAACATCTCCCCCGTGGCCTGATGCCTGATCCCACGATAGGCCAAACTCAAGCTGTATGTCATCAATCTAGCACAAAAGGATAAGATGATGGATGGATAACGAGGACGATTTGATCACAAGTGTGGTACCTAGTGGGTCCATTTAGGTAAATGGACTGGTTCTTAAATAGCACTTTTCTATTCTACTTGAGCACTCATAACGCAAGCATGTGGTTACACACTGCTGTGTGATGGTGTGTGACCAAGCTCGTGCCCAGCATGAGGAGGAGGTGCCAGGGCTGTTGTGGCTGTTCATGGTCCTTCCACATGTTACTGAGGTCGTGGTTTGTTAATTAACAAATTGTTAAATTGCCATTATGTCTTCTTTCTTAAGACTTCAATCCTCCAGTCCAATAAACGAGACCAAACAAGAGTAAATAGCAGAAAAAGCTGTTTGGCATTGGCAGATAAGATTTGGCAAGTTTTTATGGGCACAACCCACAAATGCATTTCCTTACAAACGTGGCACCATTTAAGGGGAAATAAACAGGCTTTCCAACAGTGTAAGATTTATCGCCAAGAATCATTGTTACAACACAGACATAATTGATCAAACACAAAATTTCCTTACTTTTTGTTCTAAGTATACATCCCTGTTTAGGACGCAGTAGGTTTCAGGATTCAGATCATTTAAATTTGTTTACCTGTCGAGTATAAGCGTGTCAGTGGTGACAACAAGGAGATCCAAGTTGTGAAACGTGTCCTTTTCATCTATTCTCGTCTGCACCAAGCTAAGCAGCAAGCTCAGCTTCAGAGTGTCGTACAAGCCTAGAGGAGCCACGTCCAACCCAAAGCAGTGAGCTACAATTGCGGAGAACCTCCATGGAGACGAGGCCGTTCCCTTCAACAGCTCCTGGAAGCGGGCGCTGACTTTACAGTCACCTGTAAGTTGAGTTGTAAAAGATGGTCTTTTACTACAATTAAAAAATATAAAACCTGAGACTTCACTGTATGAAGACAAATTTAATATATCTGCTATTCATTCTGTAATTTTAATGGGAGATAATTCACAGGCTTACACACTGGTTCCCACGGCTGGACACTATTTGCCTCCACACTCCAGGTAATGTTGGGCCACTGGTGCACATGTGCAGGAATGCCCAACACCCGGTAATATCGCCCGATTCTCATGGAGTTACACAGCTCGTCTACATGAGTAGGGGAAACAAAGCATTAACACTCAAAGGAGTTGTTCTCGGCTGCCCGGTGATTACTAAAGAAACATGCATGCCACCTACAAGCCACTGCCAAGAGAAACAGAGTGAGGACTTCAGAACAAAGATTTCACTGTGTGCGAACTGCACAGCCAGCTAATGAGTGTTCTTTGCACTTATTAACATATATGTTTAGTAACGGGAGCTCGCTGTATTGAATTCCTCCACAGGACTGGGTCAACAGAATATGTTAATCCTGCTGCAGAGATTTGCTAAGCTCTCAGGGGTGCTGGCGGGACAATGTTATTCGAGGGGACAGAAACACTTAATATCCAACCATGAGGCACCGTGCTCAGCCGGCTGCACTAAAATCTATTTATTTGAACTCTCCCCCACCAAGTTTGTGTTTCAAAGCGAACCTCGTTTAACAAGCCAGAGAAAATTAATGGCAAACCTCAATACATTTGACTGTAAATATAAGCCATTATAACCACATTTCTCAAGAGTAATGGATTAAGATCTTATTTTCCAAACAAAACAATAAACTTGCATTTTGAGGATATTAATCTGCAGTGCAGTTTGATTTTAAATGCTTCAGTTTACAAATGAAAACCAAGGAAAAAGGATTAATCACCTTACAGAGTGGGGGCAGAGTCTTTTCAAATAACAAGCTATTTGGTTTTCTGCTGCGTGGTTCAGATGTTTTATAGCGAAGATATGTTTTTGTTACGGAGCTGTTCTCTGAATCAAAAAGCCAAGGTGCACAAAGTCCTGTTTGAACCAGCAGATCAGTGCTGACCTTCACGAAGGAGCCGTCACACTCAGTACTGTTGGTGTTATGATTTGTATCGTCTGTTTTAGGATTAGGCTACTCTGATGTAAACGTTCGGTAATGGATTGTGTTTCTGCTCTTGGGTATTATTAAGTGTGATCATGATGTATTGTAATGCATGCTAGTGCATATTTTTCATCTTCTGCCACTGCCTTCACCCCTCCTAAAAAAAGCTATGAGTTTTCTTCTCCGTTATTCACGCTGCTAAAACAGTTGCACACTGCAGACTGTAGACATACCTCTGAGAAACAGAGTAACAGACTGGTATCTCATTGAGCTTTGCTCGTGGCCTCTTAGAACATCCAGTGCTTTGACATGGATCAGCTCCACCAGCTGCTTGTCTATACCCCAAAAAAGACACATACATAATTACTGTGCAAAAGTCTGGAGCCACTTTATATATTGCAAGGAAAATGGGAAATAGGCACAATGATTTACTGAAACATGGGTAAACATACATTAGAAATACAGCATATTAAGCAGCAACAAATTTCTTATAATTCCAGACAGATCACAGCCTGGAATCTCTTAGGCAGCTTTCTTGTCATTTCTCTAAGTAGTCTTCAGGATTAGTTCTCCAGGCTTCCTGATGGACATTCAAAGCGCTTCTTTGGATGATGGCTGCATTTTTGTTCCATTTTCTCTCAAGATGATGCCACACTGCTTCAATCATTTTGAGGACCGGGTTCTGGAGAGACCAATCTATGACTGGCAGTTTATTTGGGATCATTGCCATGTTAAAGAACGAAACAGCTGCCAGTGAGATGGGTTCCAGATGCCACTGCATGGTGGAATAAAGTCCGATGTAACTTTTCAGCATTTATAATTGCTTAAATTTGATAAGATCCCCAACACTACTGGCTGAAATGTAGCACCAAACCATGACATAGCCTCCACCGTGTTATTGTGGCTGTTTTCAGCTGATTTTGTTGATGCAAAAATACTATTTTATATCTTTCAAACTGTGTTATTGCTGCATTTTTCATAGATTCACTTAAAAAAAATGAATAAAAATTGTGTTTTTGTAAAAGGCTGCCAGTAACATAGTGTCTAAAGATAAATTTAAAATTGGTTTATTACCAACTTTTGTTGTATGTGTATACAGGACGTGACCCAATATACTTGAATGATTTATAGTTCAGTGTTAGGTGATTTAACAAACAGAAAACAAACAAAACAACATTCCTATGAAAATGGACAGATACAAGTATGGACCTTAAACTGAGTGAAAAAGCAGCCAATGTCCAAAGAAAATCTTTGAAAGACCTTCAGAGAGCACAGGCAAAAAAAAAAAAAAAAAAAAATCACAAGAATGTCTGGCTCACTGGAAGCAAAACATAAAAAAATGAGGGGTTGACCTGATATTTTTGCAGTAGTAATATGTTAAAATCAAACCTTACAACGCACTGCAGCATTCTGAATCAATAGTACCTCCTAAAACTCTAAACTTCACATCCTCTTTCAATTGGGAGCTGCACATCATGCAGCTGAAGTCGTTTCTCACTGTGGCTGACTCCGTTGCTCCGGGTGCGTGCACTCGAATGTGGTGAAAACCTACAAGCAGCATCACAGAAATGAGAATTTATATACTGCATTTGTCTTAGTCTGACTTAAAAACCACAGAGTATGTGTATGTACTGCAGTACCTGTAGAGCAGGGGCAGTCATCATCAGTGCAGAGGAACCTCGCCCCCTGGGTGTACTTTGTGACCCTTGTCATGGAAATGACCAGGCCCTCCATGGAGACAGGCCTCAAAGGGCGACATAAACGAGGAAAACTGGAAAGGTCCAGTGTGTACTCGGGGAATGGAGGCAGGTGTGTGAACTTCAAAATAACATTCACCTCAAAAGAAACACACACACATTGTTAGAGGACAGAGGCATCATCTGATTTATTACACTAGGAAAAGCCCAGGTGTATTAATGAGGGCTGCATTCCCTTTAGGAGTCATTGTTTACTGGGACAGTAAACGGAAACGAGCCCTTCACTTGTGGATTTATACAAAACACAGTATTGTTTCGGTGAAAGGGGAAGCGGTTGTTTACCTGACTCTCCATGTGTATTTTTTCAATAAGTGAAAGGGTCTTTATAGCCAGGAAACAAACCTAAATGAGGAATTGGTTAAATATAGTTAAGCTGACAGCAAAAGTGTAGCTACGTTTCATTTTTGCCCACAGTTTTCACTTACAGACTGAAACAAAGCCGTGGCTTTCAGGGGGTCATGGAGAACACAGTCCCCCAGTACAGGATCCAGCTCCAGCACATCGGCGGGATTAACACCTATACAAAACCTGTACACCGCCTCGGTCTGCTGTGTGCCTGAAAATGACCGTTAGCAAAGTTAAAAACTCGGTGATTTTAGCTGTCATGGCTGCCGTGGAGCGGAACCTCATACCGTTAAAATGTTTGCAGTTTTCGCAAAGTTTCTTAAGACCACCGCTTCTGTCTAAGTACACCAAAACCGATTCTTTCAGCGATAAAATGTCAGCCATTTTTAAAAACAACTTATATCATGAAGACGTTTAATGTTTAGTTGAGGTTAGCCCGGGTTCAGCGGGGGGAGCTAACTTCAACAAAATGTGACGTAATAATTTTAAAAAAAAATTTATAACTGTACATACAGAAAAACTAAAATATATATAGTTTAGGTTTCCGGCTATAAAGAAAATATTTTAAGGAAAATTATGGAACTTCTTGTTTTGTTAAGAAAATTTCATAAATTGGTTTCCATAATGCGAAAATTCGTCAGTTCAGTGTTTTCTAATTGACGTTATTGCTTAATATTAATTTATAGCAAATTTAAAATACACACTTTTATGCATACTTCAATGAAGATGTTATTAAAACAAGGGAGCTGGGCTTAAATTTATCCACAAACATTTCAAACCGATTTTTTTTTTTTAAATTTTCTTTTATTGTTGTGCAGGAATACAGGACTACTTAATTGCCAGACAAAGAAAATCATTGTGGATTTTTAATTTCTGAATTAAAAAAACCTGTTAATGCAAATAACAGAAAAAATAAACACATACAGTTCAATAAAAAAAAAAATCATATAGAAAGGTAACTTATGAAGCAGAAGACAGTCTTTTCCATTTTGCAAATGTGACCTACAAACCAAAATGCTGCATTTACTGGTTTCTCAAGTAATCCCCACTTCCAGCTTAATGTGAATGTGAATATAAACAATAGTTGTTGTTTTTTTACAGTAATTACATAAACAAACACAATTGTGTCTGAGAGTCAAATTGAGTCACTTAAAATCCAGTGAACTGTTCAAGTTTGTCAGAAAACTGCTTACTGACTTTATTTAAGGGATCATTTTAAGGCAATATAAAGGCTTATTTTGTAAACTGACAGAAATCACTTTAATAAAGAACATCGGTCCCTACATCTAAAAAATTGAATCTGTCTTTTTTTTTATTATTATAAATACAGGTAAAATAATACCTTGTTTCAACCAAAATCTATTTTGAGTGCAGTTCCTTCTCAGCTGCGTGCTTTGGCTTCACATAACAAGTTAATCCATTTATACTGCTTCCCTTTAGTTAAAAAAAAAAAGAAAAAAGAAAGTTAGAATGGTTAAGGCAACTGAATGCTTCTATGGGAATGTTTCATAGGAAAGAATCATCAGAAGGCGGTGCGTAAGAAAAGCCCACAAAAGCGTCATCGGCTTCCATAACACTAGCGTTGACAATCGACTGTTCTTGAGACCAGCACACTGAGTTGGGGACCATCTCCTCTGTGAACTCAGGATCGAAGTTTGAGATATCACTGACAGAGCTCTGTTTTAAAAAAAAGAGTGCAGAGGTCACATTATCATTCATGTAAAAAAATACAAAACATCATCACAGAGTAGGTCACCTAAGGGTGACTTACTCCCGTGACAGAAAAGCATTGTTTCAATTTTACACTGTGCTCCAAAAAGACACGGCAATCATAAAAAAATATAAATGGAGTTGCCAGTTTAAAAAAAAAATTAAAAAAATCAAGACTTGCAGTTGTACAAACAACAAGATACCCCTGCAACAAAGCTTACCTAAGCGAAATGTGACCTTTTCATTGTGTCAATACTCTGTTAGATTGCATATCTAATTTTGTTGGACTGCATGTATGTGCACGCTTGTTACAAGTTTATTCTTGTTTGTACTTTAAGAATTACTATGAACTAGATCTACTCATACTATAAACATGATAACTCAAATATTAAAGCTACTCCATTTCCACAAAGATGTTTTTAGTCATTCAGTGTGATTAGAATAGTATATAAACAATGTACTGTACAGAACGTCCTGTAAGTCTATACTACTGCAAAGCCAAGAGAATTATGTCTTGTGAAGAGTCAAAATAAGTGTAAAATACCCAGGCGGTTTTGATTACAGGAAAAAATATTTACCACAAGTGGTGTAAAAGGGGGAGGGATCTTCTTCTGCTCAAGGTCATCCCAGTTCATGGAAGAGAAGAAGCTGTGTCTTCTGATCTCAATCTGAAAGTCAAGAGTAAATAAACCGCAACATGATTTTTCAGCTAACAGAGCGTGAAGAGAAGAATGACACTCATTTTTAATTAGTGTTAGAGACAGTGACACGCATGTACATTAAAGGTATGGGCCACTAGAGGGAGCTCAAAAGTTACAAATTCTGTAGTGAAAATCGATTTAATAAAGGACACATACAAAGTCTTCCCTGTATCCCAGTCTGCGCTTGCCATCTTTCTCCAGCAGCCCGTCGAGGAGAGACCAGGCTGTGTTGGAGGCACCGGGACGCCTGGTTAGCGGCTTGTGGAGGATGTTGTCATACATCTCGTGTGTGTCCCTGCTGTAGAAAGGTGGCTAGGAAATGGGGGGAGGGGGGGAGTAGAGGTTTATAAGTGAGTAGGAAAATGTGGCAACTCATTGAAATGTTTCAACATTTATCACTAAAGCAGATTTACAAATCAGAGTTATTTTTGGAAATGTCAAAGTAAAAACTCACTAGACCAAAGAGCATTTCATACAGCACTGAGCCCAGACACCACCAGTCTACTGTGCGATCATACGGCAGCTTCTTCAAGACCTCTGGAGCTAAGTACTGCTCATTTAAAAAGAAGAAGAAGAAAAAACCCCACATAATAATATGACATTAACTCTCACATTTTCCTTCTAGCTTAAAACACAGTTATCAATGCTACAGTTCTTTTGCATATGAAAGTGTATTTTATTCTCCAGTAGTTTAACAAATTACAACACACACACACACACACAGCGGAAAATTATTAACTTCACTTTTGTAACAAGGTTTTCAATGATTGTCATGTTAAACAAAAGGCTTTCTTGGAAGACAAACCTCAGGTGTTCCACAAAATGTAGTGGTAGTGTCCTTCTGAGAAATGCCTTCCTTGCACAATCCAAAGTCTGTGAGTACGATATGCCCCTAGAAAAGGGAGGACATAGGGATGTTTTTAGATAACATGTGCTACACAAGCAGCTCATTATCCCCCGGGACTGAGGATACTATTGTTTACTAGGAATGTTGGCTGCAGCAGTCAGTCACATTCACCGTTTCCTAACTTTCTCAATGAGGCTAGGCAGGAAAATCATTAATAAGACCTAATCCAATCACACGCTTTCTGTCCAGCTGGAACTGGAAATGACAGCAGGAGAATGAAATGTGTCCTGTACGTGTTTTATGTAATAACTCCTCCACCAGTTATAACCCTAACATGATATCCAAAAGTGGCATTGAGATATATTTTGGGATTCGTTGAACACTTACCTCGTGGTCAAGAAGGATATTTTCTGGCTTTAAGTCTCTGAAAAAATAATTTCAAACACAGTTGCATTTAAACGCCCATATGTTTGAAGTAAATGTAATTTCAATGTAATTTCATAAGCTCTACACTTGAAGAAAGTCTTGTAAAAAAAACAAAAAACAACTAAGTATATCTCATCCTATAACAGCTTAAAGAAACACATTTAGCTTTATTAGCTTGAAGTAATCAGCCTCTCACACTGCATCTTCTTTACCGCATTGCTTCAGTTCAGTGAGCTTTGCAGGCATTCATTTATGCACAGCTTTTTTATGACCCCACCATAGCATTTCAATCATGAGATGTCTGAGACGTAGCTCTTCGGGGTTTTTCTCCTCATAGTTTCTCTGCACGGTCTATTTGCTAGTAGTAGTAGTATTAGTTTTTCACATGACTTCACAGACTCACTTGAACTTTCTTTTTCACGTGACTGTATCTTGGCTTTACATATTCGGCTTGACTGACACTTTAACAGCAGCATACCTGTAAACAATCGTGAGAGAATGCAGGTATCCCAGCGCACTTGCCATTTCAGCAATGTAGAACTTTGCTCTGGGCTCCGGAAAGGTCCTTTCTCTTTGAAGATGAAAGAAAAGCTGAAAAGAAAAAGGTTATGGAGAACTTATAAATACTGATATTTCATTTTTGGCATGTTGTGCTCATCTGGTTCAGAGTAAGATTCGGCTTTAATGGCATGCTGATTGTCACGCAGCGCAGCTAAAAAAGCCGATCACACTTGAAGCAGTAACATGCAAAAGCCACCCTTACTCTAAGTAATGCTATAATCGCTAATAAAAGTATCACACATGGAGGTGTGTTAACAGTAAAGGGGGATTTTTAAAAAAAGTTTCTTTATTGCTTCATTTCTCAGCTGTTCATGACAGTGTGACTCAATTCTGTGTGATTTTATTACAAATAAAAGTGAAACAACTCACTTCTCCTCCATTGATGAAATCCAACACGAAGTACAACTTGTCTTTAGTCTGGAAGGAATAATGAAGCCCAACCAGGAAAGGATGTTTCACGTTCTTCAGCAAAACGTTGCGTTCTGCCATGATGTGTTTTTGCTGATTGGCACAACAATATATGTGAACCATTATCATACACATATCCAAGCCAAAATACAGATAAACTCAGTGGTGATCAAAGTTTTACCTCTTTCCTGTTGAGAATGATCTTTTTTTGTAAGATCTTGATGGCATAAAACTTTCCATCGTGTTTTCGTTTAGCGAGGAAAACCTGCATCAGGAGAGAAACAGAGCACGTTGAGAATTTCATCAACACTGAAAACCAAAATAATTCCTTATCCAATTCTCACTTCCTACATGGAAAGGGCAACACATGCAGAACTAAAACCTGTTGCTTCCTCAACAGTAATGACATTAAAACTTGTCACTGTCTAACATCTGGGATGAAGATAAAGTGAACATATTTTCCAGTATTGCACCAATTACATACCTTCCCAAAACTCCCTTTTCCTATGACTTTTAAAAAGTCAAAGTCTGTGGGCTTGGCTCTGAAAGATAAAATATTTTTAAATTTACAGGCATTTCAGATAGAAATAATTGATAAAAACATCAAGGCCTTGTCAGCTATGTTCTAGTAAACATACTGTGGATTTGCAGAGGGTCCCAGGTTGATGTTTCTGGAGGTAGAGTTGTTCTGTTGTAGAGCAGAAAAACATCATTTAGATAAGCCAGTGAGACCCACAGCTGCCATATTAACATAACAGCCTAAAATAACTGTCTGAAATATTTATATAGATATATTTATGCATGTATATAAAGGGTTATCAGACAAGATGCTGTCATCAGGACAGGCAAACCATCATCCAAAACTGCTACATACCTTTTCATCTTCATCCTCAGAGGCATCTGATATTTGTTCCCTTTTTTCCATTAGTAAAAATGCCCTCACATCTGGACTGTGAAGTTTAACACAGGACAAGCAGGTAAATAAAAACATTCTAACAGCAGCAGGTGACAGCCAACATAGTACAACTTTTAATTTAAATAAGCACAAAGCACGGCTAAAAAAATCTGAACAACTCATCCTAATAAAGTTAGCATCAGACATCAATATATAATATAGTGTTGTATAATAACAGTAGGAGCTGCTACACTTACTGGTTGCAAAGCTGAGGATGTGAGACGAGTTTTTTGATGAACTCATGTAACCCGGCTCTTCTTTGCTTGATGAACTCTATTTAAAACAAACCT